TTAATATATCTCCTAAATCAAAAAAAGACGAAGAGGTTTTAAGTCTTCAGTTCGCCTTCTGAAACCAGCTCACTCTTGTTTGTATTTTGTCAGCTGGAAGGTTATTTTTCTGTACGTACGTATGTAAGCTACCTCAAGTATTAATCAGCTTCTTGGGATAGATAATTCTATTGATTAAAACGATTATTTTTCTCGAAATCTTGGTGTCTTTTTCTCCTACCTTAAATTCTGAATTTAAATGAAGCATATTAAATGATTAGGTATTTAGACAAATCAGCAGTTCTTATTTTATTGCATGTGTTGCTCAAAACGACCGAGATGCATCGAACAGTTCTTGTTTTTATTTTCTGTAACGTTAATTAATAATCAACTGACTGCAACTAACTGTTTGCTTTATAGATGATTTTGTGTTAGTGAAAATTTAGTTTTGGAATTACGAGTTTGCAAAGTGGTGAATATTTTAGCATAACGGCTGTCTGTCACACTTCAGAGTGAAACATACTTAAGTGTAAATTCTTGAGACAGTCAACTTACTGTAATGGCTTAAATGTTAAATGGCTGGGTCAGTAATCATTGTCATTGTCTTCCTGTGTATGAGGCTTTTAAATTTTGAATTTTCATCTATTCAAGCTTTCAATAAACGTCAACGGGTTAGGCAAAATAAATATACTGAAGTAAAAACTAAGAGATTTAGTTTAGATTTTCAGAAATGCGCCGTCACTAGTAGAACCTTCATTATATTGAGAGGAAGGTGGAAACTGAAATATATAGCATTATTTTGTGCTAAACTGAAAACGGAAGTGAATTATTACAAAAGGTGATAAAATCAGTGCAAATACTCAGCTGTTAAAAGCAATCACTAGTGAGTGAGTGAATAATACCAGGGTGTTTCAAAGCTTTAATTGAAATAATTAATTAGTGTTAACCTGACTTTTGTATCACACAATTCAACTGAATGTGTTTTTATATAATACAGTTTTGAGGAACGAAATGGTCAACAGTGAAATAAATGCTTTTGGTCGTAAAGTTATCATATCGAAGCTTTTATTCACCAGATTCTGAACTGTTTTGTTATTCCGTAGTTAACAGATTTATCTGAGCTTCGCAAGGAAACTGTTTTCTCTTTTCTCAGTAAAGCATAAGATTCAAAAAGGGCCATTAGATTCAAAATAGTTACAGGCACTGGCTTCCTACAGTAAGAAGTAGCTAAAAATCTGTCTTTCTGCTGCTCTGCTTTCATCACATCTTCACAGATCTTGGCACCGAAAGGATCTTCGAAAGAAGTGTTTTAGTGTTTTCCTCACTAATTTAGATCAACCACAGGAGTGTTAACGGACAGTCAGTGTTACCAGCTTTTGGACTCTAGTTCCTACATATTACATATTATTGACTACATTTAGGATAGAAAGTTAAACTGACAGATTTCGATCTCGTCCTGAGTACTGACAGCTCATCACAAAATGATAGTCAGACTGTTTAGTTCTCTTTGGTTTGGAATACTTTTCTCTGAGATACCGAGTTAGGTTGAAAATCACTTTAAAATAGACGCACTCTGATCACCAGCAGCTCAAATGAGATGTTTCAGTAAACTGCTCTAACTTATGTGAATTGAACAAAAAGTAGAAACACAATTCGATTTAGAAAGCTTAGATAAGGTTTAACCGCAGTCTTACTACACTACAGTGTATTATTTCAGGCGAACTACACAATTCATATGGAAAGAGGATTAGCTGAAACCTCAGAGTGTACTAATAAGCTACCTAGTCCACCTTTGGGTCGATATTTGTAAGCGATAAAGCTAATCTCTGTAACTTTCAAATTGGTAAGTTAGTAGTGGTTAGTTTGCTTACAAATAAAGGAATGACTGGTTAAATGTACGGAATATACCAAAAAATAAACCATATTACATCGGTCAGCAGATGGTTCTTATCAATATAGCTTCCCCACTTCTAGTGGTAGTGAGCACAAATCGTTCAAATCATTGAGAACCCATCCTTGTACTTGACGTTCTTCCTTTCGGGATTCACCAATCATCCATGTGGATCACCCATATATTATTATTACTTTCAGTTGTATTTTTTCGGTAGAATGAAAACACCGCTAATAAATTTCTCCTCACTTCTATTCATTTAAGCGAAAGTGTCTTTGTTATAAATGTCTGTGTGCATTTGTGTCAGTTACACAACTGTCTAAGGCATACATATAAAGAGAGATTTCAACTTCAATTTTTTCCTGAATAAATTTTTATCCTGAATTTAACTTGAAGAATACAGATGCTTTCATTTTTCTTCCCTACTTCCATCTTGTTATTAAGGCTTTTTTTCCACAAAGATAGAAGGCGAATCAATAACAATTTTTAAACAAACAAACAAACAAGAAAGAATATATGAAGTAAAAAAGATTAGTAAGCTGGTATATGGTGAATTAGTAATTATGAACATGATAGCAGTGACATAGTTAATTAACAATAAATTCATTGAGGCTTTTTGTTTTTCAATAAGAATCAGAATTTAGAGTATTGTTCATCCAGCCTTAATGAATCCAGTACGATTATACTGCTAGACTAATGTGTCTGTTTGACTAACGAACAGAACTTACATTGAAAAAATCAAGAAAATTGATCAACACATTAGGTTCTAACAGTCAGTACAATCTCTTTGTTAAGGTTAGATAAACATAGGTTTCGGAAGTAAAAATCTCTCAGTAGTTAGTTTCCACTTATCCGGCTAGTGAATGCAGTATATTAGTGTATCAGTGCATGTCTTTCAGTACTTGTTACACCAGAATTACTTTAAGTGCACTATCTTTCTGCTTCTGTTTGCCTCACAGATTTTACCCATTGCGGGGATTGAATCTAATGCATCCATATTTAAGGATCTACGCTAGTCTGCCTATTTACAAACTTTAAGTTATCCTCTGAGGGCGTATTTCACTAGAAACACTACCGATTTCATTGCTATGTCTATAAGTATGAATATTTGACAACTTTAAAAGAGGCGGCTACTTACTATATGAATTGTTGTACCAACACTCCAAGCAAATGCATATCCTGTTTAAGATTCTATACTGATGTGATCTGAAGGTGAATTTCGTCTTGACACAATGTCAACTACAGAAATAATAAGAACCATTCGAAACCGTACAGCCGTTTCATCTCAGTTTCAGATTATTCATTGTTGTCGAACATTGACTTTAATAAGACTTCATGTCAGAATTATCAGGTTGTTTACAGAAACTATTACTGTTCATTATTACTGTCATCGCTACTTTTCAGCTTAATCAAGGGAGGGAATAAAGCCAGGCATAAAATGCTATCTGACACTTCTTATTTTTCCACAGTAGTAGTCAAGGTGATTCCGCTACTTGTGGACATACATATAACTAAAGAAGACTGGAATTCATGAGGGGCGAATGATGCTTCCCATAAGGAAAAGCGTGTTAGACTGTAAAATATGTAAGTTAATTTTTCCTACACTTTTCCACATAAACTCACCAGGTACTATTCGTAAGCATTTTGATGACCCAGCGGCAGCAAGCTACTCAAATCAACAATTAAGTAGCATAATGTTACCATACACAATTTCATTCCTATAATCGGGAATTACTATGGCGTTTTATGTTCAGGTAGCTTGATTAGAAAACAAAGTTAAATTCTTAGTTTTATAGAATACACCCAACACAAATTTGTATTTAGTCCAAGGTGAAGTGCCTGAAAAATCTGAAGTTCATACTCAACAACCCGACGCTAATTAAAATTACTGTCTATAATTGTAATATTCTCAAGGACTAATTCGTGAAGAAGTTTAGGCGATTCAAATAAAAAGCCTAATAAAAGTGTTACGGCTCTCAAACAATAGGTATGATTCATCAACTAGAACAGATTCATTATGAGTTCATAGTTTCCAATACATTAAAAGCATAGGTTAATTTGTTTTGTGACCTGACAAATTAATTGTTTGTTTAATCATGCTGTTTTTCGTTATTCTTGTTATCACAGATCGCCTCACTTTTTCATCCTTGTTATTGATAAAACCATTATTATTATTATCATTACAACTATTATGACTAATTGCACAATTTACATACACAATCTTATTATCCTACTGACAAAAAAAGTCGTGATTGATTTATTTTTGAATATCTATTAGTAAGTTCTGTATATTAGAGTTAGGCCTGATGAGATCAAATTGAAAACAATATTGTTCGCTTAAATGTGTTATTCTAAGTATTTGAATGACATCACCATTCATTTCATATAGTCAAATCATATAGTCAGACAGACAAATGGATAGATGGAGATATTACTAAAGTCGGATCTGACACTGCAACATGAACGGTTAAAATTGTCACATTCCACTCTTACACACTGTGTAGAGGGGAAGAAGGAGAAGAAGAGGAAGAAAGACTGAGAAATGTGAAGAATATCATTGAAGTTTATACAAACCAGTTAAGAAAAACGATAGAAAAATGGTATATAAAAGCTAGTATAAATTTCTGTCTTATAACAGCAGTCATAACTTAAACTCCCTCGTGTATGGGAGTCATGGACATACGTATTGGCCTCGGCCTAAATATCATGTGATACTTCTAAAAGACCTGAAGGTTGGAACACGTTTTATAGGTCTAAAGAACAAGTTGCTTCCGTAAATTCCATGAAGAACCCAGTCAGTATAATACACTAGAATAAATAATCTCAGTCAAATTTAATTTAACATTGGATAAGCTTATTTGATATGATAAACAGTAATAATCTTCAATAGCATAACTTGGAAATATTATTTATTAATTTATAATCAACAGTAGGTGACTAAACTTAGGAATGAATGCATGCGGAATCTGTTCACAGGTGTGCGTGACGCTTGTATCTCCAGTGTATATTAATATACAAATTAAAGAGGAACCTGTACATGCGTGGATTATTGGAGAAAATTCACACATATGAGTGTGACATAAATACTCACGACATAAAAGTGAAATGATAAATAAAAAGAAAAACTTACTTGGTTATTTGCTGGCAAGCAGTCGAGAATATTTAAAACAAGTTTTGCACCACTTTGTGTAAATCCAGGCAGTGCTATTTGCATAGCATCATAGAACATGGGATATAGTGCACTAGTGAACAGTGGTTCTGGTAGTTCTCGAAGAAAATCTTTGAAAACAGCTGTTAATTGACAAAAAGAAAGAAATTTTTTTAGAGTTGTCTGCAACCGATATTTCTGTGGTAAATTATACTAGCACTTTTTAATATATATATATGTTTATGTGAAGGGGGGAAAGTGGAAACGAGACAGAATTCCTAATGTGTAAATGGATTATTCTTGTCATTCATAACTGTTTATACTTTGCCAGTCTGTTTAGTTAGAGTTCTGTTAGTTTGAATTAATTCAACTATCCGATGTGAATTACTCCAAGTACTCCGCTAATGAACTAGTGAGACGTCTGTTCACTGTTTATATTAGTCAATATAACTGGTGAGTGCTAGTGGTCTCCAGCTACTTATATCAGTCACTGGAATGTATGATTTCACAAACCTTTCTTGAATTATAATTTGCAAACTAGTGTGAGAAGTTTATAGTTTACGGTCTGTTGGTAATTTATTGCTGTTTTTACCTGATTGTCTGCTTTCACACATACGTTTCAAATCTTTCCCGTGTTTCGTGATCCAAAAACCCTATTTGTATTGTCAACAATAATAAAAAGAATTTGCATACATGGTTCCCTTACTTTATCGAAAAATAATTTATCTTACACCAAGTGAACCAAGTTCTAATTAGTGAATGGGTTCAGGTTCTTCCTGAAGTTCACCTTCTTTCTTTTTGTCATAGAATCCAGAGGATTTCTAGAAGCAGTTTCTGTAACATTTTAATTTTTCTAATGTCACATTTCTCACTAGATGTGATTTCTGTATTTGTGAACTTTATGGCTGAGTAACACTATACGATAGGAAAGTTAATGTGTTAGGCATTCATCCTTTTAATTTTGTGTAGATGTGTGGGCTCAGATAACATTTTCTATTCCAAATGTATTTTTTAATTATTTTTATTCCCTTACGTTCCCAGCAGAACATAGAGCTTCAAGTTAGAGGCTTGAAGTTTCTGTAGCCGTGGGGATTATTTTTAAAGGATGGGGTTGCTAGCCTCATGCCCAACCTTCCCTCTGTACAGGTCTTACTACTGGCTTAGCTATGGAAAGGAGTCCGTCGGCCGGGGATTGAACCCCGGACCAAATGCGTGGTTGGGGAGCATTCTATCGCTGTGCCACAGACGCACACAAAGACCACATACAAAAAAATAACCTGACATAGAACACAAATGGAAGAGGTAATAAATGTGTCTGAAAACGACAAATATTACACTGTTACACAACAGCCGGATAACTAGACTACTTCATCTGGAACAACCCAACTACTATACACAGTTGTGCATTACAGAGTTTCAACAGAAAGTAACTGTACAAGATAATGTCACAATATCACTCGTAATAATTACGTGACCAACTGCCTCTGTTATCTGATTGCCAAACGATCGTCTGTGGATTTTAATTCTGTCCATATATATAACAATATATACTCTTAATCAAATAACGCCATTCACAGCCTAATGTGCTAGCCTGTACGGTTTCAGCGATTTACATTGTTGTTTCATTCATTTCTATTTGAAGAGTACCTCATGAATCTAAACAGAAAATAAGTCACTGAAAAACTCTCTTAACTATAAAATCACTACAAACATCTGACATTAGGTGAAATGGGCAAAGTTAAACTTTAAGTACCAGTAAGTACCAACGGACAAATGACCTTGAACGCACCAATCACATGATAAAGGCGATTTTTGCGAATAAAATACATATATTCTTGAAAATAATGAATTGAAACGCATGGAGCTGTTACACAGGACACCTTTCCTTGACGTGTGACAAAAACAACTCCTATTTTGGACTGCAGTTTCAACACAGTAATTTAACCACATTTTATGCATGAGATTACCCAGGTCTTCTAAGTCTGACAATAACTCTAATCTTTTCTTAACCTAACCCTAACGTGAAAATATCCCTAAACTAATTGTAATCTGACTCGAATCAACCCTAATATCGCCCTCATTAGATTAACCTAACCCTAACCTGTCCCTAACCTAAACGTTAATGTAATCTCTCTCAAACATAACCTAGAACTTGGCAGATATCCTATTTAATAATATAACACTTCAATAAGCATATTTTATTCAGGATTACGATATTATTTACCAGGTTTCACTAACTTGCTCACTGAGCGTTTCAAAGTCATTGGTGCGGTCGTACTCCACTGGTACTTACTGGTGCTTAAAGTTTAACTTGGCCATGAAATGAAATTGTACAGATCAATGGATAATAAAGAATCTCCAAAAGTATAGAATTCATAATTTTCAAGAAATATAAATACGGGATTCCAGGGGTTGTCCGAATCATACAAAAACTAGTAAGTTGGTAAAAATACAACGTGTTTTTTTATTCGGTGGTCTCTAAGCAATGGTCATGCCTAAGCTGAGCTGAAGCTATCTGTACCTGAAGCAAACTCGTGACTGTACGCATTAGGTACTTCCAGTTCTAATAACTTTATAACCTAATGACCTAATATCCGAAACAGATTCGTATTACTGGTAATGTTGTAGTTGAAAAATAAGGTTTGAAATATTAACCAGTTAGGTGACAATAACGAAGTGAACAGGTGATTCAGAGCCAAAGTGGTAATAAAGCTAAATAATTTTATACATTTCGTGACTACCAGACATCATCTCATTCTAACATACATTTGTATCTCTTTTTTGATATGCACGGTAAAAACAAGAGGTTCAATTGCGTTGAACTCTAACGGCAAAAGACTTTAATTAAATTTCTGGATGTAAGTAGAAATATAATTTATGACTGTTTCACTTCATTAAGATACATATCGCACTTAAGGTACTTATTGAATATTTCCGCAAACTTGTGATCATTTACGTGTGGAAAAATAGCTAGGAAACAATGGTGAATTTCTGACTGAACGCAGGAAAAGATGAGTCAGTGCAAAAAAGAAACAGATTCGCCATTCAGTGATAAAATATTGCCATAGAAAGCAAAAAAATCTTTTGTTAACTTGTACAAACACTATGACTGTTCAATTTTCTCTGAGTTAGTATCACCTAGGATATTCTACTTTTGACATTTTATATTTAATTTTGGACTTTAGTGGTTAAAATAGAGGATTATACTAAGCGTATGCTCACTAATCAGTGAAGCAGCTACCACATTAGTTAGATTTTTGGATAAAGCATGTAGGACTATAGTTTCTGGATGACATTTCTAGCCAGTATATATTGTTCATAAACCTATATTATGAGCGATAAAATATACTCCAAACGGCATCTAGTAAATAGAACCTTATCCTTGTGTGTTTTAACAAATAAACTAACTAATATAGAGTTATATTTTATCACAGCATCATTGAGCTACTGAAGGCTGGGAAAAAAGCAGGACCGGACAGAATCCCTGCAAAAGCACTGAAAACGGATCCAGAAACCTCAGAGGATGTGGTGACTCTACTGTTTGAGAATGTTTGAAAGGAAAGGTGCCCACTGATTGGAAGGAAGGCTATCATGTCAAAATACCAAAGAAGGGCAACTTAGGTCTGCGCAAGAGCTGGCACGGGATCATGCTGTTGTACACGTCAAGCGAAGTACTAAGTACCTTTATTACGTATTTCTCACCTCATACATGAAAATGTGTACTCTTTAAACCGTCCACGCCAAGCAAAATATTGAGTCACGTCGTCCTTGAGAGTCTTAAAGATGCTGTGGATGCGAAACTCCACCAGGAACAAGCTGAATTCAACAAAGGCGAATTATTCACGGATCAATTTGCCTCTCTAGACATCATAGTTGAAAGAAGCATAGGATGGGAGTCAAACCTGTACCTCAACTTCATCGACTTCGGAAAGGTTTTCGACAGTGCTGACCATGAAGTAACTTCGAAACTACTTTAACACTATGGAGTGCAGTGCCCTAAACTTTTATCACCCTCATTCAACGGCTATATGGGAATGACAAGTGCCAGATGATTCAAAACAGAAAAATCAGCTAGGCCTATCAAGTGGAGACAGGAGTAAGACAAGGTTGCCAACTATGACCGATGATATCCCTAAATATGGTGGACTAGATTATGTATTAGACTATGGGGAGCATGAAGACAGGAATATATGGGACCAACAAGAAGACTAGAAAATTTTGACTTCGAGGACGATTTTTGTCTAATGTTACACAAACTTGAAAACCAACAAGTTGTCGGAGGAGGCAGGCAGCGAAGACAGGACTTCAAGTGAACACAGAAAAAACAAAGGTGATGAAGACAGCCCATCAAAAACAACAGGCATCAGTCACTATCAACGGAGGAAATTTGAAGGACGTCAGGACGACTTATTCGGGCGACATCGTTTCAACCACTCGGAACCCAAAGGAATAATAATAATAACAAATAAATAATAGTATCGAAGTTTTTCCTTATATTCAAGTATCTACCATTTATACTCATCCAGGTAATAGTAATATCTAAAAACACTTGCAGTCATAAAAAACAACTGGTTAGCCTCTAAAATGTAAGTATTAGAAATGGATTGACTAGTATAATAAAATCACAGTAGAAAGTTACTTTTTTTAAAGGACCATGAAACTAGGATCATCTGAATTTCGAAGTTATTGCCTTCATTCAAACATAAATATGCACTGGTTATTAATCGGGGGACAGTTCTTTTGCAATTGTCATCAAGATGTATCCTCAACCTTGAAAGGTATTTTTTTTTAAAGATAACTGAAGACAGTTTCTGAAATTGTACAGAAACAAAAGAGTAAGGCATCATGTCTTGTGATATAGTGTACATGAAACTGAGAATAAAGATTTATTCATTGATCAGCGCTTTTCATCAAGTAGTATATGAATACATTTCATGTAGTTGATTAATTAATATCCATCCCTGTACATCCTATATCATAGACTTCATATCATCTTAACTCATTTGAAACTTCAAGTGGCGTATAAGACCTTTCATCTTAATTGCATTCTTCAAACAGTTATCGGACACATTGCTAGGCTATTCAAATACAGCGAGATTATTGTATCTGAACTCTAGCTTACTCCTTATTTCAGGTGTTTGAA